TTTTTTTTTTTAAAAACAACTTTTCATTTTTTTTTAATTTGGGGTATTTTTTGTAAAAAAAAAAATATTTAGATAACTTTTTTTGTCTGAAAAAATGGCTTGTCAGTTTTTATTTTAATATAATATTGTTGGTTTTTGTTATTTTTTTATTTATATAAATCTTTTTGTGTTTGTAAAAATCCTACTTGTCTTTTTTATATAACATTTTTTTGTTTGAAAAAATGACTCGCCATTTTTTATTTGTATAAGTTTTTGTAAAAATATATTTTTATAATTTTTTTATTATACAACGTGTTTGTTTGTAAAAATTACATTTATTTATTTTTATTTGTGTATCATTTTCATTTGTAAATTGACTTATTTTAAGATGGCATTTGATTTTGATTTGTCAGTTTTTTTTTTTTATATATATAATCTTTTTTGTTAGTAAAAATTATTCATTTTTATTTACATAGCATTTTTGAGTTGTCATATTTTATTTTTATATCAGTTATATTTGTAAAGATAAATTATTTTAATATAACAGTTCTTGTTTTTGTTCATAAAAATTACTTATTTTTTGTAAAAATGGATTGTCTTTCTTTTTTTATATTATTTTTTTTATTTGTAAAAATGACTTGTCATGGCACATTGCACATTATTCCAAAGCAACTTTACAGAAATTTGTGCTAAAAATGAATTTTGTTAAAGGTGGGGTAAGCGATTTTTCAAAAACGCTTTAGAAAACTGATTCGGGCCGACTAGCAAAACAAACTTGTAGCCAATCAGCAGTATTGGCTAGGGGCATCTAGCCAACGTCTGCGGAACAAAAGGCTTAAAGCAAGAAGTAGGACCCGTGTAAATATCGGATCAGCTTTCCAGCGCTGGAGAGAACTCAAGGAGCGGAAGGCCTGCGATCGGACGCAGAGGTTGCTTTGTTTCTTCTCGATAGGTGAGTAACACCGTGTCTGCACTGCAACAGCTAAAGTCTAGTACACTGGACGCGACAAAGCGACCATTGAAAATCATTTGAAATTTGTGCCAATACGTCATGAATAGAACGCATCAGCAGTTTTCTGTCGGGATTTGTCGTGTCATGCCGCGCCACATCCAGTGTAGACCATAGCCTTTTGGGGGAGGGGCGTGTTTGTTTTGGTGATTTCAAATGTCAACATTGGCTTCCAGAAATCGCTTACCCCACCTTTAACTTTTAGTAGAATATTTAGAATACACTAGAATGTAGAAGGCCTCATTGCTAACACACATGGACTAAATTCCACAAAACACTTGTTTTGATTTCACAAGGTCTTTAAGAAATGCGTGTGACTGCTGTCTGGAGGACATGACCCTATCCAGCCTAATTATACAGGGCTTTCTTAAACCTACTGGTCTATTAGTATGTCAGGTAACCCACCAACTAGTCAGTTTGTAAAATATGTAGATTTGCACATCCCTAGCACAGATACAGATCTGTTTATCCATCCCTAAATCCTAAATTTTGCTCTACAGCATGCAGGGAAGGCGTCGTTTGTTCTTTTAAACTTTTGCAAAGTTCCGAATCAATGTCTTCCCGGGAACACTGGCTGTTCTTTTGTATTCCGGTGGTTAATAACAGCTTTGATAATGAAGCAAGCTATAAACAGCAAGCCGGCATCAGAGCTCTGGAAATACACAAACCTATTTGCGTTTCCGTGCACGTTACACTGGTGGCATCCTGCCTGCCGGCACTGTGCAAAACGAAAGAGGCTGCCAGAGGAGGAGAGACTGTGTTTGGAAGAGGCAGGGAGTGTTAACTGTGAACGGGGTTTCATGAAGGCTTGTTTTGACTCTCTGGTTGCTTATTCCGGGATCTGAAGGGTGGGCCGGTCTGTCATGGCACACTAGATGTGCGATGTCGAGGCCAGAGGGTGAGAACTGCGGCCACTGTGCTTGTCAAGGAAGATTTTGTGAGAGCGGTTTAGATTATAAATATTAATTGCAAATGTGTCGAATATGTGTAAAATGTTGTCTTTATTTATAGTATTCTAATGCAGATTTTGTGCTTGATTATGAGCTGTTACATCAAAGGCAGATCATGGACAAAGTCCAATTAATGAGGCTTCCTAAACTATTGGCCACTGCATTTTCTGACATTTCTACTAAAATATAATGAAATAGTTAAAATATTTGTATTATGTTGCTTGCAAAAAGTGTTAATTCATCATTAATTACTTTTGAATGGCCGTCAATAGAGAAAGATACAGATATTTATCACAGTTCCCACAAAAATATTAAGCAGCACTGTTTTCAACATTGATGATAATAATGTTTCTTGATCAGCAAATCAGTATATTAGAATGGTTAGAAAATTAATCTAAAACTATTAATAAAAATGTGATTTGTTTTTGGTAATACTGCATTGTGGTGCATTTTAAGGCACAGTTCACCCAAAAATGAACATTCTCTCATCATTTATTTCCCCTCATGTCATTCCAAATCTATAACTGCTGCTGAATACGATATAAAAAAAATTAAGATATTTTGACAAGTGTTGAACTGTTTTTTCCATACTGTCAATGGGGTCCAAAAACATCATTGTACCTTACTGACTTTCATTGATGACAATGTTTTGTTTTGTTTGTTTGTTTGTTTTTTATAAACTATCCCTTTAATACTTGTTAAAGCATGAGTAAAGGATGTCTTTGAAAATTGTTGCCCATTATAGTGTTAAAATATCGCTACTGTACTCAAGTATCCTGATCATGTACCTCTGCCTTTAATCACTATTATTGAGATAAACAGTAGTGGTGAGTGTCTAATTGTGTCTTAGTGTGTTTAATAGTGAGATTTACACAAAAGCCTTATAATGTGTTGTCAGATTCTCTGTTGTAAACACTGCCACTGCCAGATCCAAATAGAGAGAAAGAAAGAGCAGGAGAGATGAAGAATCAGTGGTCTCTTGTGCAGTTACTATCCCAGCATTTGGTGCATCAGTGTCAGTTTGCTCCAGTCGGCTCTGAGAGATGTGTGTGTGTGTGGAGGTGAGAGTGGAAGTGTGTGTCGGAGGGAAGCAGACAGCTGTGGGCAGGAGGTCATGTTTGCAGGTGACCCAGCACCCACTCTCTGCTCCCACTGTCGTCTGTGAGTATTCATGCCTCCTCCAACACACACACCACTACCCAGTGTCCTGTGCTGCTTCCTGTTTCAGAACAAGTCCAGGAGGAGTCTAAAAGGTTTCTCTTTTTTCAGACCTAATGCAGTTTTTAGTTTAGCCTTTCACTGGCATACACTACTGGTCAAAAGTTTGGGCTCCGTAAGATGTTTTTAAAGTCTCTTATGCCAATGCACCAATGCTGCATTTATTTAATCAGAAATACAGTAAAGTGATATTGTGAAATATTATTACAATTTAAAATTGCTGTTTTCTGTTTTAAAATGTAAGTCATTCCTGTGATGCAAAGCTGAATTTTCAGCATCATTACTCCAGTCTTCAGCATCACATGATTCTTCAGAAATCATTCTAATATACTGATTTGCTGTTCAAAAAAATGTCATGTTATTATCAATGCTAAAACAGTTGTGATGCTTAAAATTTTTGTGGAAATCATTTTTTATTAGGATTCTTTGATGAATAGAAAATGTATTTGAAATTGAAATCTCTTATAACATTATAATGAATTATATACATTGTTACAAATTATATGTACTGTTCAAACTTTTGAATGGTAGTGTATATATATCTACAGTACATCATAAATAAACATCAAATTACAGTAACATTATATTCTTTGGAGGAACAAAATTGACAAAGATTATGTTGTTGGCATACAGTAAGAATACTGACATGAAGAGAGCTATAAAATGTGGCTCAGATAAAAGAATTTATAGAGCTAATCAATATAATTTATAATCTTTTTAAACCTAACTATTTTGTACCCTATCCCTGAAATTCTCTAGCCGTAAAGGCTATCTCTCCCGGGTTTTCTGCAACCATGATGCGCGCGCATCCGGAATGTTTACAAACCTATAATTGGTCTATTGAAAAATATTTAAGTTCAAATTGATATTTCTGACTTTTGGTGGCACATCTGCAAATTTGAGCACAGTTTACTCTCAATATAATCTAATTTCTTGAAGAAGAAAAAAGACTAAAATATTAGAGATCTTATTTGTGATTTTCCACCAAATTACCATAGTTACTGCAGTTATTTTTACACAGTACAACCGTGGTATAAACCAACACTATTGTCAAAAAAAAGTTTTCTCATTTCCAGCATTCAGCACATCTTCATAGTTGGGAAAACTTCTGTGGTGGTGAATGGAAACTACAACAAATATAATTTTTGCGTTCCCATTTGCCCCAATAAATTAGCCCCAACAGTAAAAGAAAATATCAATGATTTTCTAGCATTTCTGTCACTTTCTTTCTTTTTAACTCTTCATTTTCCCACCTAACACTGGTGTGACGTACCTCAATCAATAACACGCCATGTTTGTTTGCTTAGGCCAAAGGAGAACTGGTCCTGGTTTCTCCCAAGGTTTTTTTTCTCGATTTCTGTCACCTGATGTGTTTGGGTTCCATGCCACTGTCACCTTTTGGATTGCTTAGTTGTGGTGTAAAAGACATTTAACTTTCAGTAATTTATCGATACGACCCATATGACACCATTGGATGAGAACAAAACTTGAACTGAATAAAACTGGATGATGGCACTGTTGTTTTCTGTAGCGCTGCTTTACTGCTGAATCACATCTCGCAACATTGACGCTGATCGATTAACTTCACGCTGTTATTGATCTGAACTAACTTGAGCTCAGTAATGACACTGTTGTCTTTCAGAGCTTCTTTACAGCAGAATCTGAACTGTCTGAATTGAATTGCTTCTGCGATTTTGTGTTTATCTCTGTGAATCTGCTTTGGCAGATTAATCGTCATATAATAACCAAAGTAATTTTTATGTAATGAAGACAATGTGATGGGTGGGTGAGTGGCTGGTGTTTCTTTTTTTCTCCCTGTAATCTGTCCCATCTCTGTCTCTCAGGACTCCAATGGTCCACCTCGCTCCGATGCTTCTGCCCCTCCAGTCTTCTCTGCCCTGCGGCCCTCCCGTGTGGTTTCCTCCACCTCGGAGGAAGAAGAGGCGCTGACAGAGAAGTTCCTCAAAATCAATTGCAAGTACATCACAGATGGCAAGGTGAGTCAGCGTTCGACTTTTCTAGTGGCAACATCTCCGAAGTTGCACAAAAGTTAACTTAAGGAGGAGTCCTCAGGTTAGTCATTAATAAGAACCCTGCTTTTCCTCCATCCTCTGGAGACTGCAAAACAGCAAGGAGCTCCAAGTTTTGCTTAAAGTGTGGGAGTTGAGCTGCTGTCTCCAGCACTGATCTGTTCTCTTTAGTGAATACTCTATGCCTGACGAGTGTAATGCTGTTAGTGCAAAAATGATTTTCTCTCACACTGTCAAATCATGCCTGCCCTCAGAGTCACCCCAGTATTTATAGAGTGAATTCACTCTACTGCGTGACCAGTGTCATCTGATTCACGAACAAGTGACTCTTATGAACCTGTTCTTGTAATTAAAGGGGTCATATGATGTTGCTAAAAAGAACATTATTTTGTGTATTTGGTGTAATGAAATGTGTTTATGCGGTTTAAGGTTAAAAAAACACATTATTTTCCACATACTGTACATTATTGTTTCTCCTCTATGCCCCGCCTTTCTGAAACGCGTCGATTTTTACAAAGCTCATCGGTCTGAAAAGCGAGGTGTGCTCTGATTGGCCAGCTATCCAGTGCGTTGTGATTGGCCGAATACTTCAAGTGTGTGACGGAAATGTTACGCCCCTTACCATATTGTGATGCCCTGTCCGGCCGGAGCGACGAGACAAAAACATTAAAACCCATTATAAACGAGGCATTTGTTGCATCCAGTGGGGACATAATTATGGATTGTACTGACATATACTGTCTTTTTACTTTAGTCTTTGCAACTTTACAGATCTTCTTTATGCACCAAGAGCTTGTATCACTTCAAAGAGAAAGGAAAAATTTAAATGGCATCATATGACCCGTTTAATCATTCAAAAAGAACAATTCAGAGCTGTTTTAATCTGTTTGATGGATCCTTGATGAATGAACTCACTGACTCTATCACAACTTTTAGTGATTAATATATTTATGAAATATTATATTTAATATTGTGTGTGTGTAGTGTGCATAAATCAGAATAAATCAGTAAATCAGCATAAATTTTCTTAATGATCAAAATTGAAATTTTTTAAACATACTTAATAAAAACAGGGAATATGTCATTAATATCAGTAAAATAAATATAGTAGCCAGTTTTGTTTAAATGTAGGGTTGCAAAAATGAGTATATCCTTGATTAAATTCAGCAAACATGTAATATTCTAGTACTTAGTATGTCCTCCATAACTTTAAGTATACTGCTTTGACCCTTCTTGACATTGTGTGTACAAGTTCTGTCCTGTTTAACCCCTTGAGGACGACCTCCATAAGTGCCTTGATCTTTATTGTGGTGCTCAAGAGCCTTAAGGCTGGGTGAAATTCTTGTTCACTGAAGGTTTTTCGCCTTGGGAAAATGTATATATTCATTGTCATGTTGAAAAAATGCCCAACAATGCAGGGAATGAGGAGAAGATATCATCTTCTGTTTCATGTTTTGTATTAAATCACACAATGGTATGTGAATTCATGACAGCTCATCTCCCTCACACCTTCAGCACTCATACATCCCTATAAAAGAGCTTTACTACCACTGAACTTCACTGTGGGAACCAGGCACTTCTTACTGTAGTGTCAAGACACTTGCTTGGCATATCCCTGTTCTTTTCCTAGCAAAAAAATCACTAATCACAAAATAAAAGTGCAGGTCTGATTATTTCAGGGACCTTGTCACAAGTCACAATTATTTTAGAATTTCGGTTTTATTTTTGTTAGATTTTCACACTTAAAACAATGATTTTGTATTCCTCTTGTACCACTGTCCTCTTTTGTGCAAAGAAATAAGTCTTCTGACGATTCTCTCCCTAGTGGTTTCAATGTTGTCAGTATTATGTCTGAATGATTCAGTGGGGTATGTAGCACTTTTAATTGTCAAGAAATGGCCCCTGTTTAAATGTTTTGGTTCAACATACCTAACTTTTGATCAAAAATTGCCCAGCAATTAGTAACTAATTGCGTAGTATTAGTTCTGGCAGGTAACATGAGTCAAGCTTGCATCAGCTGACTCTCAACTGATCCACGTCTACCTATAGGAATACGACGCCTATCATGGCACTCCTATATAAGATCTATTCAGTATTATTCAGCAGCTTTATCGCTTGCTCTGGAGCAAATAACCCTCCTCCATCCCCAACTCAGGACTTGGCTTTCTAATATTCTAATATTGAATCAGACACCTTTTATCTTTAATAATGTTGTTATACTAAAATGTCATTAAGAACATTAATGAAATCGTCTTGGTTACGTATGTAACCCTCGTTCCCTGAAGGAGGGAACGGAGACGTACATCGGAACTGACCGACGAATTGGGGATCGCTTTGGGAGACCAGTCTACTTCGAGTGTAAGAAAAACGAGCAAATGCACATTGGCATGCGATAATTGCCACATCTGCTCTGCGCTGCAGCGCGAGTATTTAATGAGCAGCCGGTGCGTCGCATATTTGCTTTTCCGCTGAGGAGCCGAGCTAGTGACTCGGCCATACAGCGGAGGTACAACGACTGTGGCGACGAGACGTACGTCTCCGTTTCCTCCTTCAGGGAAGGAGGGTTACATACGTAACCGAGACGTTCCCTTTCAGTCGGTGGAACGAGGGTTAGACGTTCCCTTTCAGTCGGTCACGTTCCGACGAATTGGGGATATCTACCAACATGCCACTGTCGCTGGCCTTTCCAGCGCTCTGCTTGAGACTCCTGGACCGCCCCCAACTGTTGGAGCGAGAGTCAGGGCTCTAAGCAGAGAAGGTCAGTCACTACTGTTCCGCAAGACCAACTCAGTGTGACTATTTGGATAATCTGGGAAGCGTGCCCTAGAAGGGAAGGGGACACTGCGGAGGCCACATCCTGCCCGTAAGAAGTAAAATGTGGTGGTTACACATATGGACTAGCCAATTAGGGTAATAAAACATATGGAAGTCTCTGGGGTGGTTCCAGCCTAGTTCTACGGGGGAAAGAACACCAGCAGAGATGACAGAGCGGGCTCTGTCGAGGGAAAGACACAGGCTAGCCGTCCTGGGTAGCCTTACCGTGGAAGAATACACATATGGGATTGCCGCAGGGACCACTACATATGGACACCCAGCCTAACACAGGTTCCACAACGCATACGAGTATAGGCCTGGCGTCAGACGCTCCACCACGTCTGACTGCCGGGGGGTGACAGAGGAACTCACAGGGTTAGCCATTTCTGGGGAACTCTACTGGAACAATAGACGCACGTATCCGGTCCAGCGGGCGGAAGTGGCGTTGCAAGCCGACACTAGAACAGGCCCTTCACGCTACTGGCCACTAGGGGCGAGTACACGGGAAGATACCGGCTCTACACGAAGGCTATAGAATCTAGCGAACATGTTAGGTGTCGCCCAGCCCGCAGCTCTACAAATATCTGTCAGCGAGGCGCCTTGAGCCAGCGCCCAGGAGGAAGCAACACTTCTAGTTGAGTGTGCTCGCAACCTGAATGGCAGGGCTCGCAAAATTTCAAAATACCTGGTAGGCCTTCAGGCAGGTACTCTTCAGATTTTGGTAGCCCAAAAATTAATTTAACTAGCCCAAATAAAAAAAACACCTTGAGTGGGGTTGGACAATGTCTATGGTAACATACAGTATTGAGCCATAAAAAAAAAAAGAACTGCTACATGATTTACAGTTCAGATACAGGTTTTCACAAAAACACAAATTTTATACAACAGCATTTCAGCCTTTAGACCATTTTTATGAAAAGCGATAAATCAAGCATATAAATTGTCAATTTAAAACATATAAATAATTAATAATCTCAAA